ATATATAGATATATATATCTAAATATATACATATATATATATATATATATATATAATATATATATATATATATATATATATATATATATATATATATATATATTTATATTTATATATATATAAATATACATATATAAGCATATATATTTATTAATATATATAAAATTATGTAAATACAAATATATAAACGTATGCATATATGTATATGAATATATATATATATATAGATAGATAGATTGATAGATATAGATACATATAGATACATATAGATATACACATCAGTCCCCCTCTTAATGCGTTTTCCTTAAAGCGCTTCTCCTAGAGTGTGGGAACCCAGTCTGAATCCGGATTCACCTACACGAACGGCGGATCCGCATTCCTTTCACGCAGACGGTGAATCCGATTCTTCTTACGCGAACACAAACAAAGCGAGGCGGGCGTCGATCTTCGAAAAGAGAGAGAGAGAGAGAGAGAGGCAAGTAGAATGGAGGAAAATGGTAGATAGAGGAGAGGAGAAGAGGAGGAAATGGAGGAAGAAAGGAGAAGAGGAGGAGGAGGAAGTGAGGAAGGAAGGAAGAGGAGGAATAGGAAGGGAGGAGGAGGAGGAAAGGAGGAAAATAGGAAAGAGTTAAGGAATTATTTGTAATCTTGTTTTCGACGAAGAAATTGAGGAAGGGATTTTTTTTTTTTTTGAGGGGGGAGGGTCAAGGGAAGGTGGGAATGAGGAAAGTAAGAAAGAAACTAAACAGAAGGCAAAATATGTTGATAATATGCCAGTTATTCAGACTGACTGAACCAAAAGGAACCTTTTAATTCTGAAAACGCTTTTTGTGAATTTCCTTATCAAATTCATGCTTAAACCTGCCTCAAATGTTGCTCAGACAGTATTTTATCGAAGGACTGCACTTATAAATAGTATTTTAATAAAGTTGAAAAAAAATGACGGTAATTCAATGGAAAGGCAGCTTTGTGGTCCACAAACTCTCGACACATTTTAGTAATGGAGCTTGTGAAACTTAACCCAATGCTGCCAGGGAAAATGAATTTTAAAAAATGGCGGAAATGCTGTGCTCTTTTTCCATTTTTTTTTTTTTTTTTTTTTTTGTATAGATGGCTGTGCTAGTGCTTAGCCTCAAAGGAGTCAATCAGTAGACCTTGTGACCTTATACGATTAGAATTGGCGGAAAAAATATATTTTTTACTAGTGCTTTGAGTATCGGTGGTGTTATTTTTATTATAAACATTATGATTACTATAATGTTATAAACATTAGTAACAACAAAATAAGATAACGTAAAATATACTTTTAAATCAAAGAAAAGAGTAAACGGGGGAGACAGGTAGTACTCGTAATTGGCTCACTGACTTAGTACAAGTGTAGCCATCTATGGGTAAAAACAATCAAACAAGTAAACTCACAGTGGGTATGGCACGTACGTACACGCCATGCCCATTGGGCTAATGATAGTTGATGTCAAATGTGGAAGCAGTTCAAGATGTATATACTTGCTAATGAAATGTAGGGTGGAATCTATTTACCTTTGCCTGAGTGCCAAATTTATCAGAGGCTGTGGCGGTCACTTCATGTCGCAGCAATTATAGTTGTTTACAATAGGTGATGAACTATATGAATTAAGTATTTTTTTATGACTTATTCACTTATTGTTTGGAGATGTTTCATATGTGCAGTTAACCCCTTGGTACCGGGTATGACGTGTACGTACGTGCTATGCCCACCGTGAGTAACTGTTTAATTGTTTTTACGCATAGATGGCAACACTTGTGCTAAATCACCAATGAGCCAGTTACGAGTACCGCCCGTCTCGCCCGTTTACCCGTTTCTTTGATTTACAAAATATTTTACGTTATCTTACTTTGCTGTTAAAAAATATTATAAAAATTATAATGTTTATGATAAAAATAAACCATCGATTTTCATAGCACTAGTGAAAAATACGTTTTTCCCACCATTTCAAATCAGGCACTAGCAGAGCCATCTATCGGCAGACATTTCACAAAAAACATAGAAAGTGGGCACAGCATTTTCTCCATTTTTTGTTCATTTTCCCCGGCACCATTGGGTTAAAAAACATTATAAGAATTATGATGTTTATGATAAAAATAACACCATCGATTTTAATAGCATTAGTGAAAAATACGTTTTTTCCCGCCACTTATTTACTTTAATTCTGAAAACGCTTTTTTTTTGTGAATTTCCTTATCAAATTCATGCTTAAACCTGCCTCAAATGTTGCTCAGACAGTATTTTATCGAAGGACTGCACTTATAAATAGTATTTTAATAAAGTTGAAAAAAAATGACGGTAATTCAATGGAAAGGCAGCTTTGTGGTCCACAAACTCTCGACACATTTTAGTAATGGAGCTTGTGAAACTTAACCCAATGCTGCCAGGGAAAATGAATTTTAAAAAATGGCGGAAATGCTGTGCTCTTTTTCCATTTTTTTTTTTTTTTTTTTTTTTGTATAGATGGCTGTGCTAGTGCTTAGCCTCAAAGGAGTCAATCAGTAGACCTTGTGACCTTATACGATTAGAATTGGCGGAAAAAATATATTTTTTACTAGTGCTTTGAGTATCGGTGGTGTTATTTTTATTATAAAC